TAAAATCCATTTCCCAAACGTGAAAAACACCTATTTCCTGGTGGTGATGGTAGGATCTACGTTTTGGCGGGTGGTTGGGGGGGGGGGGGTCCAAAGTCATTTTTTATTTGCTTAAGTATATACTTTTAATAACTTTGCAAATTTCAGAGGGGTCCAGACCCCCCACCCCCCTAGATCCGTGCATGGGGGGAAAGTCGGATTGCGCATGCTACAAAATGCTAGACAAATTGTCCCGAAGACAACTCGCCCTGAGAACATTTTGTCCTACTTGAATGATAAGAACTTGCTCATCATTTGCACGACTTGCAATCTTTCAATCTAAATAAAAATGCTGGATATAGCATTTATTTATCTGTTACCGGATCACAGTTCCGAACCATCTCATAAGTATATCGTACTTGGTACAGTAAATGAAAATAGTTCTACTAGTGTTATATTGTACGATAAAAAATATTTATTAGGGCCCTGCAAGGATATGAAAGCTGCAATGAGTCCCTCGGAATTAATTAACTTTCCTCTTGAAGAAAATCCAAAGCATTGTCTTTATCTGTCATATTGAGATTAATTAACACCTCTGTCTGCTAATGAAGTTTGTTTTGAAGTTAAGGTCAAATCTGAATGATGTTTACATTCTCTGAAATGTGGATTTAAATAATATTCATGCTTTATTTTGGATAAAATACACAATGAGTTATGATTTTATTGAATTCTAAAAACAAAATATAGAAAAAGATATCTTTTTCGTTATTTATTATTATTATTTTTTTGCTGCCTTATGTAAATTCAAGAATACTATTAATTTAAACAGGTAGTGGGATAATAACTTCATTCTATCATTGCTGAAAAAGTTCTTATTGTAGACTTAGAAGAAAAGGATAAGAGAGCAGTACAATTAATTCCCCGGGATTATCTTGTCTGCTGCAGAAAAATTAGAGGCTTATCTTTATCTGTCACTTCCATTAATTAACACCTTTGTCTGCAACTAATGTTTGTTTTGAAGTAAAGGTCAAGCCTGGATGATATTTGCATTCACTGAAGGCTGGTATTTTATAAAACACATGCTTCATTCTTGTTTAAATATACATTTAATTAATTGAGTTAAGGTATGATGTTTTTTTTACTGTCTATTGTAAATACAAGGATACTATTTACAGGTTGATGAATATTTAGGAATTATCTTGAAATTTTATAAATACAACTGCTGTTGCTTATTCTTCATATATTTTCTAATTTTTATAATCAAGTAAAATTCTCATTCCGTAAGCTGCACCCATATATTTCTACCCCTCGGCGGGGCCCTTGCTGACTGGTCAGTTTTCTAGTTTTCACCATTAAACAGCATTAATTAAGAGTGTTTACAAGCAACTTGTAAGGATAAAAAATTTAGATGTCTTTACAGGTTGGATTAAAAACTTGGCGAAATTATTCGACGGTTAAGGACCTCTATATACACTAATAAAAAATATTTTATGGACATTAATAAAATTAAATTGTGTAAAGGTGTAAATACTGAGTTTATCTATTCGATTTCTAACCTAGGGTACCTGCAACCCCCCCCCCCCCCCCCCCAGGAAGAATATTCAAAGACAACAAAGTATTGATAAACAGAATTCATTTTCTTTAATGCAGAAATTACATATGCAAATAAAGTGTTTAACCAAATAAAATGTAAAGAATGTTTGATTTGCGCAATTAAAGATTGAGCAATACATCGCTGACACTTGCACAGAATACCATGGCATCAATGTATCATAAGTGCAATTTTCAATTTGCGCATAAATGGCAATTGTGATGCAGTGGTAATTGTGATAACCCCCCCCCCCATTTTAACTCCGGTGTTAAAAGTCAAGGATATATAGAGAGAGAGAAAGAAAGAAAGAGAGTAGCAATTAGGCCATACCTATACGTTTGTTTATAAGGTAATATATTTCCACGTTTCAAGACGAAAAAAATCTATTGAGCAACATGTATTTTCATTACAATTTACATTGTTAGGTCACATGAGTCACTAAGGTGACCAATTGCTTATCTGTTTTCGTCTGTCGTCCTGCGACATGTGTTGTGCGTCGGTCGTAAACTTTTGAACATTTTCAGCTTCTTCTTTTGAATTGCTGAACAAATTTCAATCAATTTGCACATAGCACCGTTGGAAAACGGATACAAATTTTGTGAATGTCTTTGTCTCTGACACCTGGGGCCCGATGGGTGGGGATTAAACCATCAAAATTAGTTCTATCTTTCAAAACACTAGTATTCTTCTTTACTCCTGAACGTCAATTTAAGTAATCAATCTGTTGGCATGATTGTAATATATGCATTGAGTCTTCTACCAAATTGTGATATTCATGGTCCCTGGGTCAGCTAGGGTTCTTGAGTTAGGGCGGGCTTTTAATGATCAAATCTCGTAGGTGCATGGTTATGTTGAGCAAGGGTGCCTCTACGAAAATTGTGAAATTGTGACCCCAGGGTCAGGTGTTCTTGTGTGTGTATGGGGGGGTCTATTGATTCTATAGTGAAAATGCATTAATTCTATGAAAATCTTCTTCTCTGCTCCTGAATATTTAGCAGATAAATTGAGTGCATAGTTATGGTTAACAAGGGCGCTTCTTCCAAAATTGTGAGATTTGTGGCCCCAGGGTCAGGAGTTCTGGTGTGTGGTGGGGGTTCTATTGATTATAGCGAAAATGCATTAATTCTTTGAAAAGCTTCTCTGCTCCTGGGTACTAAGCAAACAAACTAAGTACATAGTTATGATGAGCAACTGTGAATTTCATGGCCTCTGGGTGAGGGATTCTGGTGTTAGGGCTGGGCTGTGTTGAATCTAAAGTGAAGATGCATCATTTCTTTGAAAATCTCTGCTCCTGGGCATCTAGGAGGGAAACAGTACAAAGTTTTTGAAATTCTGGACCACTTGGTCAAGTGTTCTCGTGTTGGGCAGGCCTCTGTTAATTTGTAGTGTACTGAGAGAAGTTATTCCCCTTTGCTATTCACCTATGATGATTAATCACTGTGAGTAATGTAATTGAGAGGTCGATTGAATAAGAGAATTATACAAGAATTTTTATAATATATAATACAAAAAGTACCTTCATAGTTTTTAATGGTCAGGTAGAGATATGAGCCAATTTACTCAGAAGTTTGCCTTAAAGATTCATCCGCCCAAGAAATTAAACACCACATGATCTTTCGATTTCATCCGATATTTCATAGGAAAATGTAATAAAAAAGGGAAGGGTATTCTGTAAAGAAAATTTTCTTTGTAAAAGATTTTGTTCAGCTTTCAATGATAGTACATGTATTTTGACCTATTCAGACCTTGACATTGGATGGTCGAGTCCATCGCCGATGAGAAAAGTGGGTAGAAGGTTAGGACTGACTGCTTGTACTTTTAAAAATAATTCGATTGTCACAAGTATAAACAATGTTTATCATCATCCATCATACAATGAGCCCTCCACCTCCATAGTCTTGATAGTGAGACTACACCCCACCCCCCACCCCCCGAAAGACTGGCTATATAGTGAGACTTCCCCCTAGGGGAGGGGGTACAGTTTATTAGATCGTTATTTCATATAGATAATCTAAAGTTTGAAATGGATATTTTGAATTTAATATCATACGTTTTGTTAATTTTGAAATATTAACAGTTTTTTAATTGATAGTGAATGCGAAGTTTAAAAAAGAATAAAAATAAATTCCACATAGATTTAGTATGCATGGATCATTTCATTTAGTACATAAATACTTATTATAATGATAAATAAAACATATCCATAAAGATTTAGAGACTATATTTGATAACCTCTGCCTTAAAGATACTTAATACAAACAAAAATTTGATGCATGGATTGATATATATTTTTTGATTGATTTTGATTAGAAATTACATAAATAGTAAATCCCTAAAGTATAAAGAAAGAGTAAGTTTTCTTTACTGCTTAGAAATGTGACTTGCGTCACTTTCTATTTAATTCCATACAAAATTTTGCACAACTTTTTGACCTTATGACAAAATCTTATAAAATTCTCCCACTATACCTGGCAAACATTATTTGGGTTACCAATTTAAAAATAAATTTATGAGAAATATTGCTGATTTCTGAAAAAAAAAATTGTTTGTGTTATTTATCCTTAAAATTTTATTATTATAAGGCAAGGAAATGCAACGTCACTCTGAAGTTAGCTTATATATATATAGATATAGATAGATAGATAGATAGATAGATAGATAGATAGATAGATAGATATATATATATATATATATATATATATATATATATATATATATATATATATATATATATATATATATATATATATATACATCTGTGAAAAAAAATTGGGGTATAAAAGAATAAGAGTGGACTGTGGTCCCAACTTATGACCTTGACCTTTCCCTGAGTTATCTTCTTCTGTTTTTAATTAATGCATCTTATTAAATGCATAAATATTTATTTTGAATAAAATCGCTTGTCCCCAAAGACCCCAATTCAATCTTGGTTGATTAATTACTGTTCAGGTAAATACATTTTTGAAAATTCCTCATTGGTTGATCCTTTTTATATATTCTCTAAAATGCTCTCAATTAATATCATAGTATTATATACATGATGGATATTTAAGGATCGAAAATTAAGTCCTATTAGGGATGGAAAACCTTAAGCCACGGCTTTATACCCTAGAGATAGCCTTAAGAATGAATTCTTTATTTTCCAGCGAAATCGTGCATTTTTATATGACTAAATCATGGTGGTTACATTGCTTACTATAAACAACAAATTAAAAGTTTTTTCCCCTACATGCACTTCAAAAAGACAATATTTTTACTGTGGACTACGAACTACAATATCACATTACTCGGCAAATATGAAAATTGGTTAATAACAAGTACTGTTTTAACTAAGAGCAATAATTGTCTCAAGGTTCTGTGTCTTTTTCCTACCTCTCTCTCTTTGGGGAGGTACCAGTTAAGAGGCACAAAAAGTGGCAGGCAAATCATACTACCTTTGTGTGTTTTTATTAGCCACTTTCGATACTGGCAAAATTTTGAACTTCTTCGTAACCAGATTCTTCTTTATTTCTAACACAAAGTTTTCTACACTGCAGAATCATAACGAAAAATCGGCGCAGACTTTCTCTTCGAAGAATGACGTAGAGCCAAGGATTAATTTGAGAGTTTAGATACATCAAACGAATAAGCCAGAGTTCCTTTTTGTTGTTTCCTGTCGTTAAATTTGTAGCGTGGAGAAAAATGTCGATCTGCAAAAGGATATACATACATGTACTAGTACCTAGAGAAAAAATACATTCTTGTTTATTTTAAATTTTTCAATGGAACGAGACCACGTATCTACTGCATACAAATGTGTCTGTAACCAGCATGCTTCAAAAGCAACTTTTAAAGCTAACATTATCTAATATGCATGTACATACCAGAAGTGGTCCCCATAGGAAAACAAAAGTAAACATCGAAATGACCAAGAACTTGGTCACGTGGGTGTCATATATTCCTGTCACTAGATTGTTATCGAGAAGTAATGCTTGGTACTCCGTGTTTCTACAGCTCATTATCACAGTTCTGAAACCTATGATGACAGTCACGAGCATGATGGTGATTCCAAACACGGAATATATTAAAGCGTTAACTTTATTTCCCAAAGTTTTGCTGGTAAAATCCAGAAAACACCAAGATCCAGGGTAGTACAACTGACTGTTCCCCAACCCTATTACATGTAAACTAGATATTACTATCGTTATACCTAATAAAGCACACAATAAACCAATATATTTCAGTCTAGAATTAACAGCCATGTTTGAGGGTGGTCGTTGAATGTAAAGATACCTGTCTATGGTCATAAGACAAATGAACATTCCTGAGGCCAAATGGGAAAATGTTTCCATGAACGAAAGAAAATCACAAAGTTGATAGGAAAGGCACCACGTAAAGTGAGAAATGTACCTTTGAAGAATTAAAGGATAACAAACGCCATTATTTATTAAGTCCGTAATCACCAGACCCGTAAACAGAATATAGAAGGACTGGAATTTGTGTTCATGTCGACTCAATAGTAGCAAAATGATCGCCAGAATGTTTCCTACACCCCCCAGACTCATTTGAATGTACACTGGAATTGCATTTTCATGTTCCTTCTCCTCACACAATATACGATAAGCTGTTTTGTTCCTAATCATCACACTTTAATGTTTAAACTTTCCCCTTCCTTACTAAGAGAACACTCAGTCCATGAAGGTGTGTATCATTACACATCCTTGTATATGATCAAAATTTTACTTCCTGCATTTTTTCAAAAATAATTTAAATTTCACTTTATGACCTTTGAACGACTTTTGTTTCCTTCAGGGAAATATCCGGGGTCGCATATTTTGCTGTGTACTTGAATAAAATACGTTAAAACGAATGAAATTATTTTGGATTTTAATTTTATTTATATAATTTAAAGGACAAGATAGGCTAAGGTCCCTTTTTGGCCCCGGTTCGGGGTGTCTTTTAGAGTGATGCAACAGTTTATCAGTTAAAAACCTGTTGTCACCCCTGCCACAAGATGAGTATTGGTTCTCAGTTATGGGATACACAGAGGTCACAGGAAGATTGGAAAATATGTCAATTTCCGAATTTTCTCATTTTTATGCAAATTTTTATCGATTCTACAGCACATTTTGGTTCAGAAAACATAGAGCACAAGCTTGCCTATCTATCAAATTTATATATTTCATACACTAGTATCAGATGCATCTTATGTATAAAAATCTAAGATAGGCAAGCTTGTGCTCTATGTTTCCCGAAGTGAAAAGTATCTCAAATTTCACGAAATTCGATCAGAATTGAGGAAATTCGGGAAAATGTCCTACTTCTGCACCCTCTTGTGGCCTCCGTGTAAGCCTTGAATCAAAATTAGTGCTGGTTTTAAAACAAGCATCATTTTAAGTTCTTAACTATAAACTATCACAATTTTAACTGTGTTCTGATATTTACATCAAATAAGAGGCCAGATTCGGCCGTTACCATACTTGTCCTTTACAAGAGTGCAAAGACTGAAGACAGGAAATTTTATGTAATTTTGACCATTGAGCAGATTTTTCCCAAATATATTCCAATGTGAAATGTTGTATCTTCTATTGTGGCCCCGACCATGATTTAAACAAACTTAATTGTACACTACCCGAGGACGCCATATTTATTTGACAAGATTCAAAGATTCCTCTCCCCCCCCCCCCCATATTCCTAAGTAAAATTTTGATTGCCTAATGTGACCCCGCTCTACCCACGGGGGTCATGATTTGAACTATCTTGAATCTACATTACCTGAGGATGCTTCTATATAAGTATGACTAATCATATGGCTTTGATGTTCTTGAGAAAATTTTAAAATTGTTTTCCTATATATTCGTATGTAAAACCTTTATCTCCTGTCTTAGTCCCACCATCCTACACACGATGGTCATGATTTGAACAAACCTGAATCTTTACTTTGTAATGAAGATGTCAGATAATGTCATCTTTTCTAGCCCAGTTGTTTTTGAAAAGATTTTTAAAAGATGCCATCAAAATTTTTGCTTATTCTTAATTATGTCCACTTGAAAGAGGGTGTGTGGGCCTTCATTTCAATACACATGAATTCCCTGGACCCGAGCAAACGTTGTCCTAAGTTTTATTGAAATTGACTCATTGACTCTGAAGAAGAAGATGAAAATAAGAAAAGTTTGCAATAACGACGACGCCGACGACAGAGTACGGACAAGTTTTGATCTGAAAAGCTCATTTGAGCCTTCGACTCAAGGGAGCTAAAAAGCTGTTTAAGTTAAATTAAACCGTCCGGGGTATTTTTTGTAAAGTAGGTCAAAGGTCAAGTGGATTGTAACGCTGGTAATTATCATAATGTTTTATGACAAACAGTGCACATGCTAAATAGCATAGACTTACCTCTTAAATGTCAAAAAATATGCTGTATATCAGCACTATGAACTATTTTGAAAAGTAGGTCAAAAGTCAAGGTCAAGGGTCACAAGATCGGTAACCTTTGTAATTTACAAAAGCCAAAGCAATATATGTGCAAAATATCAAATCCATACATGTACCTCTCACAATTCTCGAGATATAAGGCGTGACAGACGGACAGACAGACAGACATCAGACAGACTCCGGGTAAAGTGATTCCTAAGTGTCGCTCTGCTCTGCAGGCGACACAAAAAGGAGATGCTTTATAGTTTGTTTGGTTTTTTTTTAACTTCTGTGAATAGAAGGTTCTGTGAAGTACGTCGAGATATTAAATTCGAGTTTTATTATGCATATGTGTAAAAAAAAAAAAAAATAATAATAATAAAAACAAAAATGGATCCAGACAGAAAGGAAGTGCAAAAATTTGTCAAAAAGATATGTGAGTGGCAGGCGAGGAAGTAAGAAACAAATACAGACTAGAAATTATGGACAGCTTAGTTTTGGAAGGGAAGTGGGGGTGTCAAAGAGACTAAGATGCAATGTAGGCGCGCGACCTTAAACACATCCATTTGAGACTGACCGTGCTGCATCAATTCTCTGGGTGTCGACAAATTGTTGTCGCTTAAGGATATCCGATCCTCAGCCAGGAAGGATAACTCTTAAATTTATTATTTTATTTAAAAAGTCTCAGAATGAAGCTTGAAATTGAGATCTTTTCGTGCAACAATTTTCATTATATGCATCTTAATATGATTCAAGGTTCTTTGGAGTCTTAGAAACGGTCTTGTAAAAAAGTTGACATTTGTACCACATAAAAGAGAAAAAAAATGAATTCATTTTTAGAGAAATCGAATTTTCTTTAGTCTAGCATTAGATACCACTGCTTATTAGCATGATATGAAATTAGATGTGATATGTGATGTCTAGTAATGATAGCACAAGCTTTTTACACTATGTATTATATGACAATTGAAGTAAAAAAGAACTAAAATACTGCACATGCATAAAAAAGATGCAATTTTCTCCAAATCCCTGGATACCTATATTTTTCTATCCTAAATTATATTTGTTGATCAATATTCAATTAGAAAATGCATAACTGGTGTTTTTATTTGCATTTCCTGAAAATATATTTAAGATTTGATAATTTTCCATATATAATATGATTAACAATAATGATGAACTTTGAAGAAATTCCATGGGTAAATTCAAGTTAGTATGTGAAATCAAAGACATTTTTGTGAGCATTTTCAATTACTTAAAAGCTGATTTTCAGAACCTGAGGATCGGACTACCTTAATAACAGGAAAGGACATTGCAGATGGATAAGAAACAAATAATTCAAAAATTCTAATCACTTGATTATGTATTTAAAAAAATACTAAAACATGCATGTCATGGTACAAGTAAAAAGCCAAAAAACACAGGTATGATAAAATATACTTGTATCTCAGTGACAAACGCCACAAATGTCCGCACTGGAAGTTATTGTTTATACGCAATTCTGGTTAAAAAGAAATCTGACATTGAGAATTGTAAGATTTGTTTTTGGAAAAATCTGGGAAACGGAAAGGAAATAAGATATCGAACTATCAAATTAAATTGTTTTTCAAACAATCTGATTAAAATCAGACCCTTTGATCCGCTCACATAGATCGCAAGTGTAGCGATCTATGTGAGCGGATCAAAGGATCTGATTTTAATTAGATTGTTTTTCAAACAGTTAAAAAAAATTATAAAGCATAGTCTAAGTACATGTTGAATTGACGATCTGTATAAATACCTATTATTTTTGGACGAAAGTCAAGCTTTTAGCCAAATTACGTACACAGATCTCTTTCTCTCTCTCTCTCTCTCTCTCTCTCTCTCTCTCTGAAAAATCAAATTAACATCCAATGAAGAAAGAGAATTTGGTCAATATAGTTAGTTTGATTATTTTTAACTTTCAATTATATGTCTAGGTTAAAATACCCAGTGCAGATCTGATTCTCTGAGTTTCATATACTGTGAACAGTGTTGAATTCTGAGCAGTGTTATGAGTAAAGTGGTTGACAATACTCTTCCAGACATTTCACTGATTCTGAATATTTCAAGACATGAATTACTCATAAAAAGAAGAAAAATAGTTTCTTTGTGAGTATTTATATTAATATATTAATTGTTTTCTTTTGTTTTTTGTTTTTTTTTGTTTGTTTGTTTGTTTGTTTTTTATTTTTTGCATGTGAAATGTATTGTAAGAGTGAGAGAGACGTGCTAGTGATTTTAACCGTAAAGTTAAACGAACAATCATCGGATCATACCAGTGGTCAGTGGATTTACAAAGAATGCAAGTAGTAGGAACTGATTTTTTTCTATTAGTCACCCCTTATTTTTTCTTGGGGGGGGGGGGGGGGTTGTTACATGTGGATTTGTCGAAGTGAGATTTTGTACTTTCGGCAAGATAGTGTGCTAATTAATACTACATGTACATGCATTTGGTTTTATAAATTTGTTTATGTTACCCTGAGCAATACAGATAGGAAATAAGGTTTAAGGCCTAATATCTGTAGGAGTTCAACAGCTGCCTAATTTTATGAGATACGTGTATATGTAAAGCATAATCCACTGAACATGGTAAAAAAAAAAGAATGCAAAAATACCGGGTATATTATTGTAAATATGCCGCATGTTTATTAGCATTGCGGGGTCTAGTAGAGTATAGTTAATTATCAAAGTACGTATTCTTTTATTATGAACATATAAGCAATGAGTATTGATGACTGCATGTTTTTAAGACGAAAGATAAGTTTTCAGCCAGATTATTTCTTTCACTGACGCTTACCCCCGCCTCCGAAACATCACGATATCGGAAAAAAAGTTTTTTAAAATTGGATTAACATATAATTTTAGTTACAATTTAATAATCAGTTTAAAAATATTCTTTGCAGATCTGATCTTATATTAGTTGACCCGAGAGTTTTAAAAAATTATTTTAAAAAAACAAAACAAAAAAACAAAAAAAAACACCGCGCATTTGTCATACCTGTACTTCCGGTAGCACATGAGCAGCGTGCCTGGTGCCATGATGAACAGTCGGTAGCCTACAATGGCGGGCAATTCTTTTCTAGATATTTGTATAATTTAAGTTTTCCTTAAGAGTTCCTGAAACGGATGACACATAAAGAGGAGAGACATTGTTTCTTTGTGAGTAATTATGATATAAAACTTTACTTTTGCATATAATATGTATTGTAACAAGGAGAGGAA